GGAGAGACCTTTGAGGCTATCTCGCGAGAACCATACTCAACGCGTAAAAATCAGGCGATAGAAACAAAAGAGAGCGGAGAGAATAGCACCGTCGCATGCAGGCACAAGGCGATGCCTACCGCGCCGCAGAATCAATCAATCCACCCAACGAGACATTAAAAACTCACCCCAGATCATAGCCAAACAACAACCCGCCCGACGCAACAAACAAGCCAATCGTGATAGCCCAACTCGACGACCCGGCAAAATTGTCAGGCTTATGCCAGCCCATGCCGAGCAGCATCATGTCGATACCATCGACGAGGAAATTCGGATGATGCTGTTTTTCAGGAGTGATGAAGAGAGTATGGGGAGCCAATGAGGGAGATGCGGAGAAGGGGGCAGGTGACGTGAGGCTAGGCTGCTATAAGCATGGCGTTGATGGCTCGGCTCCACTTGATGACTTGGAAAAGCTGGGGTTGGACCCTTGATGATGTGACGGCCATCGCGACGCGTCATTGAGTTTTTTGCGAGAGGGAGGGAGAGAGATAGAGAGCAGAGTGTATTTGAGCAAAAAAGTGACGATGATGTTGAATGAGAAAAAGTGAGGTCCTACCCGGGTTCGAACCGGGGTCTTTGGAAGACTTTGAGGGTGATCAAAATCCAACGTCATGACCACTAGACTATAGGACCGTGCGATTTAAGATTAATAATTATTTCGGCCACAATTTGTAAATATGTAGATTGTGCTCACCAAAGAGACGGTTGTGCAGACAAAAGCACTCCAGGGTACGGAAACAACAAATCATCTCAGCATTATTGGTCCAGACTTGAAAGAGTACATATGTATTCAGGGAGAAGTTACCTTTTTATTCTCACTTTTTAGACGCAATTACACAGAAGCCAGATACTGATTAAATCAACCGGCAGAGTCGCGCTCATGGATAGGCAAGCCGATATAAATGCACATCACGATCTGAGCACGTTATAATTGCTTAGAGTAATAAAGCGAGCTTACATCATGCTATTTGTTGTATCTCTACTTTATGCAACGCAATTATCGTCATATAAGCTAATGGTCTAATAAAACTTTCGATCGTCAAAGCTCTCAAACTTGTCGCTGATAACCTTCCTCGTCATTTCCATCAACTGTTCGCCAAGCTGCTCATTCTGCGAAAGCTCATTGCCCGACTCTGGCACAGCAGGAGGACAGATATACTGTCCCGACTTATCAGTAATGGTCGCAGCGAATACAGAACTAGTGGCGCCCTGGAATTGATCCTTCTTGAAGGGCTCCATGCCAACCGACATGGCATATCCAGCAAGGGGATACCTAGTATCTGTCAGTGAGTGTGAAAGTAGCGACCGAGGTGGTGTACTCACGCTTCATGAATATACTCAACGCTCTGTTTGGTGCTGACGAATCCGGGGTGTGTGGCATTCACCAAGATCTTGGGATTACCAGCCTTGGTGACATGACGATCCAAATACCGACTGTATAAAATAGCAGCCAGCTTGGAGCGCCCATACTGGGGATTCGGTCCGAGATCCTGATTCAGCTCATCAAGACTCTCAAACTTGACGTCGCTGGGCGCACCCTGATGCGCATTAGAAGCAAGGTTAACAATCCTCACTGTCCCATGCTCCTCAGCCGTCTTCTTCAAAAGCTCAAGCAAATAAGAAGTCAAAAGAACATGACCGAAGTGGTTCACAGCCATATGCTGATCAACACCATACTTCGAAAGCTGATACGTCATAATTCCCCTCCCTGCATTGTTAACAAGAATATCCAAGCGATCAGTCGACTTCTTGATATGCTCAGCTGCTTTCTTCACTTCAGCCCAGTTGCTTAAATCGCACTGGATCCACTCTGTGCTATCAGCTTTCTCTTGGCCGAGTTCCTCAGCGACGGACTTTTTGGCGCCGTTGACGACTTCTTCGGAAATGGAGAGGATGAAGAGCTTGCTGATATTGTGGGAGAGGAGAGTGTGTGTTACGCCGTAGCCGATACCTTCGCTGCCGCCGGTGACGACGGCGACTTTGTTGGTGAGGTCGGGGGTTTCGGAGAGCGAGAATTGGTGGGTTGCGAGATTTTCGGCTGGACCACCAAAGTTCTCGGCGATGGTGTTCTAACAAGTCAATTGCTGATGACAGATAGCGAGCATGAGATAATACCTTGACGCTGTCTACGATGGAAGACATGGTGCTGATCTGAGTTCTTCTGTAGAAGGTGTTGTTTTTGGTTTGATGGGCAAACGTAATTCTTGTCCAAGATGATCTGTAGCTTCGGTATAATAACCCTGTAGATATTCTTTTTGCCGCGCTTAGATTAAAACTCTTCATTTGAGTTATAAATGAAAGGGAATTTCACTCCGGATTTCATGCTCTTCAGTTCTTCTCATATAGTGGCTTGGAAAGCTATGAATCACCACTCCACTGAGTCAATGACGTACATCTTACAGCAACGAACCTCGTAGAAATGATATGCAGTGAGACAAAGACCGTCATAAATATGTACTGGTCATTTAATCTTAGTAATTCAGAATGATTTCTAGTTTTTATGCTACCTTTGTCGATTCTGCTATCCGCAACATTCACCATAAAGGCGTTATGCAGATGAAATAGCTCCAAAGCTCTTCTCCAGGTCATCAAAGAATATATTTTCCACCGCCTTTCTCATAATGTTTCCTTTTGCTGTTCTTGGCAATGTTCCTTGGGGTACAACAAAGACTAGGCGTGGATCATCTATTCGCTCGTGAAGATACTTTCGCGCATGAAACGGCGATATCCTGTGCAGGATTTCTTCCTTGAATTTCGTCAAACTATCATCGCCTGACTGCAAGGTGTCGTCATTCTTGGGCTCAACAATAATTGCTGGACTGGGACGTCCGTATCCGATGACAGATACAGCGGAAATCAGATCGCCCTCACAGACTTGCATTGCTTCTGCCTCAAGAGATCCCGCATCACAGACCAGAGACAGCTGCATCTTGATTCTGTCATCGACTCGTCCTTTGTATGAGTACTGATCGTCGCCGACTCGTTGGAAGAGGTCACCAGTATGGAATTTGCCGTCTTCCTTATTTCTGAGCGAAGGGTGAGGGCAGTCATCCGCATCGGCAGGAATGACAAGCTCAAGAAGTTGATCTGATGAAGCTGAGCCCCCACCCAGAGGGATGAATTCACAGCCTGATTCTGGAAATGGAGTGAGGTATTTGGAAGTAGCAGATGCTCTCATCGATAGTCCAATCTCGGTAGAACCGTAGGTATCAAAAAGCTTAAGCCCTTGCTGGTGAGCCCACGCCTGATCCGACGGCTCCAGAACTTGCCCAGCGTGAAAGATGTGATGCAAACTCCGAAGTTGCTCGAGCAAAACGGTGTTGGTACGCGCTTCTCTTATGAAGACAGAGAGAAGAACTGGGAAGATGTAAAAGGCCGTCAATCCACCATGGGTAATCATACTCTGCAACTCAGAAGTTGGATAGGGAATACTCTTTGGTGCGATTAAACAGCCTGCGTTAGCTAGTGCTTCGGCAAGATTGATAGTGTTACCGACATGGGCATGAGAACCCCTGTAATGGATCAGTTTTGGAGCATGAGGAGCTGCGAAGAACTAACATGAGGCAGTACACAGGCTGCGGACCGGTTCGGCTAAATGGCTTGTTCTTGCGAATCAAACAGTCCATCCACCTGACAGTGGTGGGAACAAGCTTTGGTATTCCAGATGTTGAACCCGAGGTATGAAAGATGGCCGAGACTTGATCACCATTCAAAGCAGTAGTCACTTTATCGAGCTCAACGTCCTGCGGAGCGACCCTACCCAAAGCACCGTTGCTAGGAAATGTTGGAAGAGGACAATCTTTCACTAACGACTCGCAGCTTGCATCGTAAATTAAGGCCGTGGCATTGCTCTTGCCTAGAAGTTCATAGACGACGGACGGATTCGTCATGCGAAGTGAAAAGAGCTGTGGAATGAAGCCGGCTCGCTGGAGAGACAGATAGTGTAGAAGATCCTGGTATGACCATCCTCTCATCCTGTGAGATATTAGATAAGAGCGGCCGTGTCGACAAATGAACCTACCAGATTCCTACTACAGCACCTTTCGCAATGCCTGCCTGGGTCAATACAGACATCCAGGCTTTTGCTACATTCTTGACATCATTGCAGTACTCAGCATAAGTGATCGTCTTGTACTCAGTGGAAGAATCAGGTGACAGATACCTCACTGCCGCAGCATCCACATGAGTCTTGGCGAGCGTCTCAATGATAGTAAGAGGTGTATGAAAAGTCCGCATTTTGAACAATAGTATCTAACAAGACAGATCTGCCAAGACCAAATCTAAGGATTCGTTCAATTTATACATATTTGTGCAGAATCCTTCTGCTAGGGTAGTCTCTAAATTCTCTCTGCTGATTTGCTCTCAGCTACAAGTTTTAATTGCAAATAACACATCTAGCTCAGAAATAAGACATTGTACCACAATATCTGGGTTAGTCTCACTCAGCACCAACCCAGAGAGGACATCACCAGATGAGTAAGAATTTAGACCAAGAAGCGGGACCCGAAAATGAGGAGAAGCAACGGTTACACGGCATCTCGAATTGTCCCCAAGAAGTGACTGACCAATTGTTTCTAAGTTGTGTTACAAATAATCGGCGATTACCGAAATTTATTGTAAATTATGGCTGCAGCGTGATATTAAGCTTACCTTACTAGGCTTATCTGTAAAGGAGCTGGCGCTTAGATGACCGTCTAACCACACGATCTTAGCTAATAGTAGTAAGCATCTAAATGAAGATGGAAGATTCGCGGTTAAAAATAGAACATAACAACCGTACAACCCTGCCTAAAGAAATGTGGTTGGATCTCTTCAATAAAACCATGTACTGTATCAGAGGGGGGTAATGATACTCACTTGTAAGCGTGGATAGTGGTAAGGAACAATGCATATGAAAAGGTGGAGTGACCCTGATCGGTACACCTTTTGCTAATATTTTGCAGTAATAATATACACCGAGATTATAGAGGCATATCTAACCCTATCTGGCTCGAAATTTTTAACCAATGCTTCGCTGATGTGTCCAATTGTGCCCCATCGTATTCTGACCATATAGTTTTGACAAGCCGCAGAAAGCTATCGCTTGCTTTGTATGGTAAAGCTTGTCTAATTGTATCGAGCCTTGACAGGACGAAACGTCTTGCTTCAGCAACCTTGAGGACAGATTGTGGAATAAATGCGGTCATAGTATCTGAGCTTCCTGGTAGGCATACTGCCGATGTAAGATCGAATAAATCCCATTCCAGCTGCGAAGTGAAGATATCAGATGGATCAGTATTGACATCCTCTGGTGTCCCTGTCAATTGATCGGGGTATTTTTGGAACTTGAGACCCGCTGCCGCAGAAACATATAACACAGGGTGAATGAACTTTGAACCAGATTCAGCTGGAATCCTTTCAAGAGTAGCCACGAGCTGCAGAGCCAAGTCGACAAGAGATCTTTCTCGACATGTTTTATCCTTTGCAGCATCGCAGCCGTTAGCCAATGTATTTTGTCCATCGCTTGCATTGACGGAAAGATCATCAAATGTCAGGTATAGCTGCAGCAACCCAGCTTTGCGATATGCCTCAGCTGTTTCTAGTAGATGAGACACGGGGGTGTTGTCATCTCGTGTATCGACATAAAAGCCTTGCAGCTCCTCCAAAAGCACAATAGTATCAAAGTCCATACTCAAAAGCTCTTTCTCGAGCTCGCGTGCCACCGCTATGTCGCAGAGGATCTTGCTTGCTACTTCAAGACCGACAGTTCTCTGATCTTGGTTATAATCGCACGCACTTCTACACAGGGCTAGGATTTGGCCGAAAATCTCAATCACCTCGTTTGATATACCACACCAGGAGTTTGGAAGCGTTCCCAGTGGCTTCAAACTCAAACCGATTGACAAATGCGGCTGTGGTTTTGTTCCAAAAGTACCATCTTCTGGTAGCATGGCCTGACGAAGTTTGTCCTGGTATTTCTGTCGTCTTTTATCGACAATTGAGGGGTTCGAGCCACGGCCTACCAATGCAAGAAGCATCTCCCAGTAGGCCAAAGCTTGACAGAAATAGGCATGCAGGAGAGCGTCTGCCGCCGAAATCCCGACAGTCCACATAGAAAGCAATTCCCTCGCTGTTTCCAGCCACGAATAGTCCAAATTTCCAGGAGTGATCCAGTGAGATGAAGTTCCCATTGCTAATACAGCAAAGACCAAATCAGCCGTGACTGGACCTAGTCCCAGGTTTCGCACTCGAGATATTCCCTGGGTAATGGCGAGTGTAGATTGTTCTCTCAGTGACGGTAGGGTTTGCCTCAGATGGGGCATAGTGTCGACGAGACAGACAGCTGACATGACTTGCATCGTATAGAAGACGGCCTCAGATGTGGCCCATGAGTCTCGAGCTAATGAGCGATTGTTGTTCACCTCGGAATCGAACGTGGAGCGCACTGGACAGATATATCTGAACCAGTATTCGATTAGTGTTGTTGATATGTGAACAGGCGCTTGTATAATGCTGAAATTGGCGGTAGATATCAAGTCATGCCGTGAATTTGACTGTTCAGGTCTTTCTAACGAGTTGAAGGGGTCTTGTAGAGACTCGCCAACATGGTTGGCCCCGATATCAAGGTCCGTAACTTGCCAATTTGGCGCTGTCTCGCTTAGCCAGGAATAGTCGCAGTCGTCATTGAGAATGATTGGTTCATCTGATAAACTGTCCAAGACATCCTGGAGATCAGTCGACCTGACTTGGATATTGAAATCCTCTGCCTGAATTACAGGTAATGGATCTTGCAGTTGTACATTCGTTCCAAAAGTCGTCTCTCTAGATATCGAGGTCTTATCCTGCTGGTGCTTGTGCGACCATCGTAATTTCTGCGTATACCCAGGGCACGGACATCCGAACTTGGCGCAGTTCTCGCAACTAGGCCGTTTCTCATCGCATTTGATCTATTGCGCAGTTAAACACGTCAACAGACTAAACCTGATGATCCGTTTCACTGAAGTCGCCACTTACCCGTCGGTCTTTGCATTTGGAGCATCCATTTCTTGACTTCGCTGTTCCGGTCCGCCTACGCTTAGTCCTCTGAGGGTTGCCAGGGCTGGATATACTCTTCTGTGTGTCCATGGAGAGTCAGATTTGAAGCGTGGTGGAGAATCGAGATATCTTTGGTGCTTAAAACCCCGCAACCTTGACACGGTACGCTTGTGATGTCACGTGGCCCAAGCTTGTTCAGGGTAAGGAGGGCGAAAAGAGGCCATGCAGCATAATTGGATCTCTGTAACTCACAGGTTTTCTTACGAAAATCTTAGTATAACAACTTCATCTCCAACTTCTTGCTCTAGTGAGTCTTCTCTAAGTTTGATCTATAAGACTATAAGTCGGCCAAATTTACCGAACTCACAACGGCTTTCTACTCGCGTCCTTCCAAGCGTATATCGCAAGCTTAGCCAAATCTGTTTTTCAAGACTCGCAGCCTGCTGAAATATGAATCTTTATCGACATAAGTTCCCCTCAGCCATCGTGGCTTTCCAACATCCGCCATATCGAAAGCTCTCCTCGAGTGCAAAGTTCTTGTGTTATCAAAAAGGACACAGTCACCAGGATTCATCTTGCGCTCAAACAAATACTCTGACCGCTGGAGCAACGCGTTAAACTTGAACGCAGCTGCGTGCCATGCGTCTATCTTATCGTTCAGTGCTGATAGAGGTGATTTGTCGCAACTGTTCTCAACCAAGGGGTCTTGATGATTCGAGAAGGGTGCGAGGAATGGAGGCCCCCAATTGATCTTCAGCATATGTTCAACGAGCACCGAGTCGCTCCATCCAGAACCTCCATTCTTAATACTGAGCTCGTGATATTCTTGGGCATAATCTTGAACACGTGTATACACCTTTTCGCCAATTCGGAGTGGGCGTAGGTCAATGACTGGCTTTGTCGTGCGGTACACGTTGTCGTTAGGATGGTTGTAGTGGTAGTTGACGGGGACTGTGACAAGGGTCTCGAATGCCTCTGGATCCAGGTGGAATAAGTCGACTGCCGACTTGTAGGCGTCAGCGAAGACGCTGGCTCCTCCTTTGGATGCAGACTGGACGCAATGGAGGAGCTGGACATGGGGAGGGTTTTGGAAGTATAGTAAGTCGGTATGGAATCCCAAATCTGCGGACGTGTATGCGGCGTTAATGGCTTGAGGGACTGTACGCACTACAAAAATATGAGCTTTGTTTCAACTGTGGACTATTGGCTTTCAACTTACCATCCCATGTGCGGCCATAAAAGGTGTCCTGGACGGGACCAATGCGTTCAGCGATCGTGGCCAATGACTCGACCTTGCCAGGAACATTTGTAACAAACGCCAGGCCATCAGTCCGAAGCTGGTGGATTAGCTTATAGACTTCTTCGTCATCCTTGATATACTCGTCGTAGTCGAAGTCTCTCAAGTTTGGCAAAGGCTCCGGAGTCCACAGAACCTGCGCGGCGTGCTTGTCTCGGCCTAAGCCAGGGAGAGAGCCCGACTCAACTATCTCTCGAAGAGACGCTATGCTCAGGTTCGTTGTGTGGTCTTGGCCATAACCGGGGACGTCATTATCCCACTTGATGTGCACAGACTGGGAGGCAGAATCGATCTCGACCGAACGGGCTTGGATGTCGGCAGGGATGTCGGCAGTTGAGAACAAACGCTGGTAGGTTGATTCGTGTACGCACAACGGACAATGGCAGGAGTCACGCAAAAGCAGTGGGGAGAACTCCTGAGTCTTGCTATCGATTGAGATTGGGACCCTTGATGATTTCGAGCTTGGAATAATGGTGGAGAAACGCCGCAAGGGTTTCAAGTTGTCCGGCACGGCACTGGCTATTGTAAATGACTTGAGGTCAACCTGTGAGTGTCTATACATAGCCGGTAATGGATCTTGGGACACAACGCACCTGTGTTCTTGTCCTCTGGCCGGATACAAGGGTACTCATGGGTAGACATCGAGAGCTTGATAGAAACCGTTGGACGGGGAATGCACCTCGGTAGAGGTGTGTCGTTCGCACCGGAAATCTATTTGTAGCAAGCATCTTGGGATTTGCACAAGAATTTAGAAGAAAGAACTGTGAAACAACACTCTTTGTGAACACTACTGCGTCTTTTAGTATTTAAGAGATAGTCCAGTAACACTCCACCAAAGATACCCATGTGGGGATATCATATGGTGAGGTTAACCTGATCTGTTAGTACTTTACGAAAATGCAGGTACCTTGAAACAATTTACCTGGGTACTCTGGGCGCATCGTGTGCTCGCCCCGCCACATATCTCCCGTTTTTTTATTATCTTTTAATCATTGGGCATATCAGACCGCAAAACAGTGTATGGGAAATATAAGGACCAATGAAGAATGCGTAGATATAATCACATCGTAATGACCTTCCGCTTCCCGTAGCTAATACAGTCTGTTATCATTATAAGCTAAGCCGATCTTGGCCAGTGAATACGGAGTGCGGGTTAGAAATGCGGAGACCATTTGTTGCTGGCTGCTCTAAACCCCGCTAACGCTGAGTAATCGTATTTCACTGCTGTAAATAGTAAAGCGTATCTACAGAGCTAGCAATTGCAGAGATATGGATATACAAGGGTCGAAAAGGACGTGATATAAACAGGCTTCGATGTAGCCCTGACTATCTCGACATTTCAGTAAATACTCAACGTTCTTCCCTCTCTTCGAATTATATAACCATCTCGTTTGCTAGCGTTGCTGCCCATACCATCATGCCCCCTTCGGCACAAGTTGACGAGCAACCTCAAGAGGTTAAAAAGACTCCCTTGCAATTGATTTCACAAGGTGCCTGTCTCCCCGGTATCCCCAAACACCCCACGTTCGCGTTGCAAAGGCAATGGCAGTTGGAGAAGATGGCGCTTGCTTTTCGTGTCTTTGCAAGATTGGGTTACACGGACGGTATGGCTGGCCATATTTCCGTTCGAGACCCTGAGAATCCACACACATTCTGGACAGTAAGTGCCGAAGTTTGATGCATAGGTACAGGAGGAGTAAGCGCTGATGAACCATAGAACCCTTTGGCAGTGCATTTCGGCATGTTGAAAGCCAGTGATATGATCCTTGTTGACTACGAAGGCGTTCCGATCGGAGGTATTCTTCTCTCCTTATGTCTTTGACCTGTAATACTTACGCTCTCCTACCAGGAAACATGAGTCGACCAGCAAATGCTGCGGGCTTCCTCATTCACAGCGCAGTCCACAAGGCTCGACCAGATGTTGTTGCCGCATGCCATACCCACAGCGTGCATGGCATGGCGTGGAGTGTCTTTGGGCGACCTATAGAAATGATTACACAAGACGCTGCCTACCTCTACGGCGATGCCCAGGCTATATACCAGGTTTGTCCTTGTCCTTATGCACTTGGTTATGTTTTTCTAATTATGTATAGGACTTTGGAGGTGTTGTCGTCACTCAAGAAGAAGGTGACAAGATCGGTGCTGCTTTAGGTATGTCTGGAGGTTCTATGTTCTTCACCAGAGTTGGTAATAACGATAATACATAGGAGCTAAGGGCAAGGCTATGATCCTTCAAAACCATGGTCTTCTTACGACTGGCACAACAGTCGATGAGGCCTGTTTCCTCATGACTCTTATGGAGCGGGCCTGTCAATGCCAGTTACTTGCCGAGGCTGCTGCAGCTAACGGCATCCCCAAGGTTCTTATTTCTGATGCAAGCGCAAAGTATACCTTTGAGAACTCAAGTGACCCAGAGACATTGTACTGGGAGGGCCAGCCTGACCTAGAATATGAGGAATATTTATGTAAGGGTGAGCATAAGCTATAAGCATTAATATAATTATAAACCGGTTCTTTGAAACCCCTTTTTAAGTTCTTGTTTATAATCAGCAGCGCAGATGAACCATGCTACTGGCGACTTGAGCCCGTCGAAACTCCAGGAATGTCCATAATGAAAGGGTATCGTGACAAATTCGGTGACTCGTTCTGGTTTACCTGGTCATTCTCTGATCAAACTAGCGGCTTCCGAGATTCTCTCGGTGATTCATACGGTCGACGCAGCCTAACTCGTCCTTCTAAGATAAAGGATGATAATCTATGCTTCAAGGTACCTCTCCCACGATTTGAGGGTACGGGTTCGGACTATATGGCCGTACTGATATTGAGTGCCTTGAAGACGAATCCTATCATAAGAAGATCAAAGTCCTCAATGGATTCAAGCAAGAGAAGCTGTATAACTTTAATGATCTAACGTTTCCGATTGATCTGGTTGGTAATGATGGCAATAGCGACAAGAATCACTATGCCAATCTCACAGCGACGAGCTGGCACGCGTTGGATCAGAAGCCTTGCGCCTGGGGAGAATTTAGTGGTGAATGTACTCAGACCTTCTCCAATGTTGATGTTTGGCGTTTTAGGAGGTGTGGAGTTTACCCGCTGGTGAGATATATGCTGCACTTCTTTGGGGAATGAACCTATCAATAGTTCCATCGGGAAGGGATTAATGTTAGTCCTCTTATCTCTGCCAGTCGAGACTCATAATCGTACACTGTGACTCGGACAGTCGAATTCGTCTGGCCGCAGAACGGTACATGCAAATGCAGCGGATGGGGCCGCGTGATTGGCGAGACAAGTACGACGTGCAGAAAAGGTGGTCAGCATCTGCCCATTCCGACATCCTGATGGCCTCAATCCGGGGTTCACGGCAGTCTCTTTACCCAAACATGTTCAGCATGTCGTAGCAAAATGTTTATTAGTGATAGAATCTCTTCCTATTATTATACAGTCGCTTTAGCAACTCAAGTTACCTAACGAAACTCATCGACACTTCTCCAGCAGCACTGACGATCAGTGGGATTATTCCCTCACTGCAACCTGACCAAGTCATGCAAATGATCACGCTCGCATTTCGGCTGCAACCAACCCGTCCATTTCCGGTTTTAGTGTCCAATGAAGATATCACGCCACCAATGACATTGTAGGAGAATGCGTCGCTCAACGTTGTACTTCTGCAGCGGAACGCAACACGGGCAATGAAGATACATTGTTGACAGCGGGAGTCAACAGTCCAATAGCAGATGCATTTCCTCCGTAAGGCATTCTTCGTCCACGTCAGTCGTTTGCGACCTAACGAAAAAGAGGCAACCTTAGCAGAGCCTCATCAGGTTTTAACTTGTGGAATCTCGGCCCAGATCAAGATAGGCTCGTGGATCCTCGATTTAATACTCAATCTCCAACGGTTGTTAATTATTGTCAGATATTCACTCGATCTTTCTCTCATCTTTGTTTTGTCTTTGACGTGATTGGTCTAGTCACCATGGTGTCGACACCCCCGCCATCAGATGACGCAGAGGGTCATCCCCCAGAAGAGAGTCCACATGACGAGGAACACGACGGGGAAGAAGCTAAGAGCGCGTCATCAAGCAAGAAACCAGCCAAGCAACCCAAAACATCAAATCGTGGACATAAACTTCGTCATAAACAGCCTGCGCATTATCGAACACACACCAACGACTTTCCTTCGGGCGATCCGTTAATGAGGCAGGCGATGCGCTTCGGCGTCGACCCATATCCTCCTCCGCCGCCGGGTGCGTATCTAGCAAACACAAACCCGCCTTATAATCCATCACCATCCGTTCCACCGCCGGCTAGTTATCCTAGCCCATATACATATCCTAGAGGAGGAGGATATTTCTCTGTCCCGCGAGCAAGTGCTCGGGATCCCCAGTACTTCACTCCGACAGGATACGATGTTCCGCCTTCAGGATACTCTGACCCTGGATACCCTCCCGTCGAGTCTTATGGATATGAGGAGGAAATCCCACCGTTTCCTGAGTACCCAACGCGCGAGCCGAAAAGGACTCCAGTTCGACCAAAACCCTTGCGACAACCGAAGCCACAGACCGAGCCTAACCTGAGTAGCCTTCGACGGGATGTGACATATCAGAGACCTCGGCAGAGGCGACCGTCTGTCCCCACAAGGGAGAGAGCATCGCCAGAAGATGGCATAACCATGCAAGACATTATGGCTGAACTCCGAAACCTTCAACGTCAGGTGTACCAAGCCGAGATACAATCCGACCCTGGAAGGGTTCAAGGCCGCCCCCGAAGAAGTCCATCAGTCACGAGTCAGTATACTAGTGACGACACAAGATCTCTAAACATAGAGAGAGAAAGATCTCGTCAACTGACAAGCATTATCTATCGGCTGCTCGAAGATAGACAAAGACCGGAGTACCAAGACTCATTAGGGCTCTCGTCAAGACAGACAATGATGGATCTTCTTCAGAGCAGGGTAAGGGAACATGATGGAGATATGGCACTGGTCAGTCAGCAGGACGCACAGGAAATACGGTCCAAACTCGATACTATACTGGAGTATCTCCAGCTTGAGGGCGGGTTGGAGGACGAGCCGGCACCCCAGCGACTACGCGAGGGCTACGAAAGCAGACTACAACCCTTGGTCCTTAGGGGTCAGCCGTCTATCGCCTCAGGGTCGCCAGTACAGGCACCACCATCACCAACTATAAGTCGAGCAACGCCACGTCGTCGCCAGACTCTTCCATCCGTTATCAGACCACCACAAGATGCCCAGCCATCTAACCAAGGACGGACCCGACAGCTTCCAACCAGGCTGCCGGAGCCGGATGATGACGATGAGGATTACGAAGAGTTGAGACTCGCACCAAGACCTCCACGGACAAGAGTCAGCTCAACACCAAGTGTTGCATCGCAGGGCAGGAGAAGGCTACAACCATCCATTGTCCAAATGAGTGACGCTCGACCACCGGAAAGAAAGATTGTTGAAGGCGATCAGCAGAAGGTCAGGCCAGGTCGTTTTGCATATGTACAGACGGAAGATGAACAGGATGAAGAACCTGCTAGAGCACCTGTGCCGCCGTATCCAGTGCCTGATCCACCTGGGCAGTCCAGGCGAAGAAGATCATTGCAATCGGTGAGATTCAGGTAGATGTAGAGCGCTGTATTTGAGCAGTTTGCTCGTTGAGAGAGCGATCGATGATACCGGCGGGGGAGGACAAGGCACGTATGGGGAAATTGAACTGTGATAGTAAAAGCATCAAGTAACAATGTAAGACTAGGGTCTCTATATATCTATCTACGGTAAAGATAAGCTTAATTAGTTCTGTTCAATCATAAAATCGAATTATCTCACGATAGTGCTCCTAAGCGCAAAAGCTCGTCGAGTGAACAGCCTTGAGACAAAGCAATGAGAATGCTTATATAAACACTCCGACGTTTAGATAACCTTATCGCAGAGTCCATTATTAATTCAACGTTCCATATCGCAATTCGGCACGTTCTCGCGTGATTTCGAGGCGCTATCGAGACTCCTTTCGGCTAGATGTTTTGTCACGCATAACGTTATCGCCAAGCAAATCCGAACGGAATTTCCGGTTGTCAGCCTTCTTGGTTTCACCCTCACAGTTGACATGATGATTGGTCGAGGCTGACTCATTAAACAACGTTATGCTAGAGTATTTAACAAAACTGAAGAACTCGGGCTTTTTAGTGTATCAAACTACATTTACGTGCTTTCTTGAAAAACTTACCAACATGTCTCGCCCAAATAAAGCTATCTACATGCTTGCAAACGGCAAACATGAACTCCGAACAATCGAAGAGCCGTACATCCCGCAAAAGGCACAGTCTCTTGTAGAAGTGCAGTACTCGGCCATCAACCCAGCTGATACTCGCCACTCATATATGAATATGTCAGAATACGTGGCCGGGTACGAATACACTGGCATCGTTCGCGGAGTTGGGCCCGAATCTCCCTTCAAAGTTGGCCAAGAAATCTTTGGCCAATCGTTGCCATATGATCATCGACCTAATTACCTTGGCGCGCATCAAAGCTTCCTCTTAGCGGAACCTCTGATGGCTTTCGAGCGGCCTGCGCATCTTGATCCCATCACCGCAGTAACACTTGTTGTTGGCGGTGCAACAACCTTCGATGCTCTTTTCAATGTGGCAGGATATGGCTTCCCGCTCGCTGACATCAGTGGTGACGACCCAAAGAATGAGCCGATTCTCATCTGGGGCGGTGCCGGAGCTGTTGGCCAGGCTGCTATCCAGATTGCCAAGGCAGCAGGTTTCAGCCCCATTATCACGACGGCTTCACCTCAGAATCATGAAGCTTTGAAGAGGCTTGGTGCGGATGAGGTCTTTGACTACCGAAGCCCAACTGTCGTGAAGGATATACGTGCATACCTGGAAAGTTCTGGCAAGTCACTCAAGACTGTTTTTGATACAGTTTGCGCTGGTCTTGGTGTCTTTGAAGGTCTTGCGCCTGAAGAGGAAAAGGCCTTGGAGGATAAATATGACCAAAGCTCACCAGGTCTTTCTCGCCAGTGCTGTGATCCCAACGTACCCGCAGAGGCGCTCCGTCTGGTATCAACTCTTCTCGTGAAGAAGGACCCAGCATGGAAGTTCACTTTGAGTGTCAGGGTTGTTGAGCAAGTTGACTTTGCGGTTGATGCTCAAGATCGAAGCGATGAGGAAAGGAAGAGGGAGGAGAATAGGATCATCGAGTGGCAGAAGCGCATCGAAAGAGGTATGCATTGGCTGGCTGAGAACCATGAACAGTATTGGGAGGCGCCGAGGTTTAGGATCTTGAAGGGGGTGGAGGAGGGGCTTCAAGGTATACGCGATGTTTGGGATAGGAAAGTGAGCCGCGAGAAGCTTGTTGTTGATCACAGGGCTTGAGATGTCATGAGGTGACGAGGGATAAGCATGGCAGAATAAGGACAATTGGACGTTATCATCTCCCCGAATATCTGTTGAGCGCCACTCTTGACAAGTCAGTGATTGAAATCAATTGAACTCCCGAGATTTAGGCTGTGGTGCAATCCACGAGAGCACAAAGAATTCCTGGTAATGCTTCTCCACACGTAGACCAAGCCCATCAGTTCTAGCACAGAGTTGCTGTTAGATTCTTAGGTGCATACAGCTGCAAGGGCAAATAAGCCATGCACTCCAAAGACAGTTGTGACATTTCCTATGCAGAGGCAGCCGTCAACAAGGCAGCAGCAGGTCGAGACTTCAATTCATTGGATAGCCTAGCGACATGCAAATGCAAACAGGATTCATTATATCAAGTCAGGACAAATACGCAGTGGCCAACTTGGCAAAAAAGCATTACAAGCACATGACTTGCTACATGTTGGTGGAATGGAAGCAATCACTCGGTAAGATTTCAATTAGTTGACATAGTAATATTAAAAATTAAAGAAACCATGAACTATTGCTAATCCAAGTCCCGCTACCTAAGTGTTATACATAGATCCTGTAATCTTAACCGTTTATCATCTACATGAAGAAAGCAAGGGCAGCTGGGAGAGCCAGCATGAAGCCAGTGCGAACCACGCTGGCACCACTGACGGGAACAGGAGTGGTGGGAACGGGAGTGGCCACGGGAGTCTCAGCAGCAGGAGGAACAACTCCGGGCTGAGAGACAACGGGAGGGGGCGCGTAGCCAGCGGTGGTGCCGGGAGCGGGGACCACAGGGACGGCAGTGGTGGGAACAGGAGCTGGGTAGACGGGAACGTGGGTAGAGACAGTTCCGTTGCTGGGAGGGTAAGGGGCGCTGTGAGCGGGAGGGGCCACAGGCTTGCCACCGGTGGGCTTCTCAGGAGTGGGGTATCCAGCAGTAGGCTTCTCGGGAACGGGAGCCTCGCCAGTGGGCTTGCCAGGAACGGGAACCTCAGCCGTGGGCTTCTCCTCACCCTCGGTGGTAGGAGCAGCGTGGCTGGGGACCTCGTAAGCCTTGGTGCTGGGGGAAGCAGTGGTCACGACCTGGAAAGTAGTCTGGCCCTTGGAAGGCCGAGCAGTCTTTCCCTCCTCAGGGCAGTAGGTTGTGGTGTCGACGATGGTGACGGTAGGAGCAGGAGGAGGAGTAGTAGGAGGGTGGAAGGTCTTGGTAGTTCGGGTCTTACAAGGCACAATCGTGGTGAGAGTGTCAGTGATGGTGGTAACGGGAACATGGACCTTAGTGGAGTGAGCAGTAGTGGTAGCGGGGACGGCACCGGTCTCGGTAGCAGGGCAGACGTAGGTGCTCTCGATGACGGTGGAGGTGACGACCTTTTGGGTGTAGCGGGCAGGGCAGTTGATGACGGAGGCAGCGCAGCTGGTGATGGTGTAGACGTGGGTGGAGGTGACGGTGCTGGTGACATCGCCGGTGGTCTGGGGCTTGGCGAGAGCGGAAGAGGAGCCAGGGCCAGCAGGGTAGGCACCAGATCCAGAGCCGGTAGTCTCAGCACCGGCAGGGTAAGTCTCAGAGCCAGAGGCACCGGGAGCAGGGTAGGCACCAGAGCCAGAACCAGTAGTCTCGGCACCAGCAGAAGCACTAGATTCAGAACCGGAACCAGGGATGGGGTAAGCACCGGAGCCAGTGGTCTCGGCACCAGCAGGGTAAGTCTCAGAGCCAGAGGCACCAGGAACGGGGTAAACGTCAGAAGAGTCAGCAGTGGCAGAGCCGGTAACATCAGCGGAACCAGAAGCGTCAACAGAACCAGTGGCATCAGGGAGAGCAGAGCCGGTGGTAGAATCAGAGCCTCCAGCAGGGAGAGTAGACAGAGAGACGACCTGAGTGTGAGTGGTAGAAGGGCCACCTTGCTTCTCAATGAAGCCACCAGGAGTACCGCGGTTAGGCTGGCAGACCTTGGCCTGAGCAGCAGTAGCAAGGGTGACGGTGAGGGTAGGAGCAAGGCTGATGTCGAGAATGTCGCCGACCTCAACGTTGAGCTCGACAGCGAGACCAAGAGTAAGAGAAATGAGCTCATCGACGGAGACGGCGCAGTTGTCGGTGGCGATGAGAACGGCAGTGTACTCGAAAAGGCTGACCCAGACAGCAATCTTGGCACCAGCCTCAATGTCGAGAACGGGAATGTCAAGCTCGGCCGAAAGATCGATCTCAGTTCGGAGGCGGAGGCCAAGAGTAAGAGAAACCTCGGCAGAGAGGTCAACCTCGGCAGCAACGCCAATGGGAAGAGCCTTAGCAACAAGACCCTCAAGGGAGACGTCAACGATCTCCTTAGTGAGAAGAGAAACCTCAACGAAAGCCTCCTCGCCGAAGGCAAGGTAGACACCAGCAGACAGGTCAATAGCAGCATCGACACCGACGACAAGGTCAAGAGCGAGGGCAGCACCGGCCTCAGCCTCAAGAAGACCGGGGACCTCAAGCTGAAGAGCAGAAGAAGCGAAGAGTTCAATGGATTCGTGAACAGCAGCGGAAGCAGAAATGTCGAGCTCGACATAAGCCTTGATAGCACCAAGACCAATACGGACGCGAGGCTCCTTAAGGAAGTCCTTCACAAGCTCAAGAGTAGCATCACCCTCGATCTGAGCATTGGGAAGGTTGAGACCAAGCTTAATGGCGGCAGCAGCGCCAGATGCAGGAGCAGCGATACCGTCGAAGAGAACATGGTTCTCCCAGCTGTTGGCCAAGCTGCAGGTAGAAGGAAGACCTCCCTTTTGGCTAACGGCGGCAGTGGTGGGAGCTAGGTCGAGACCCTTGGAGGAAGTGTCAACGGGCTTAGAAGCTCCAGCACTGTTTCCTCCGAGCGAAACGTCGACATCGAGACCGAGGCCGAGAAGGTGAGGCGAGGCAGTGGCAACAGCCACAAGACCCCCCAAAGCGGGAATCAAACTAGAAAAATGCATCTTTTTAATAAACAAATGTAAATGAGTGACTGGAGCGTGAACCGCTTCCGAATAAGTGAGTGAAAAGAGAGTGACTGGGTTAAAAAAAGAGTGCAGAAAACTACAGAACAGGAGAACAAAAACTACGAGCAGAGGGAGAGCATTTTAAAGGAAGGATAATAGTAAATGTCGAACCATCTCCTTGACGATGTTACCTCGTGAAGCGGGAGTTCAAAAGCGGTGACAATTATATCCGGCGATCGCTATTTAACACCCTTGCAGTGCGCTTTGCCAGATTGGGGAATTCTCCTGTCAACCATGTGGAGTTGAGGTTGCATCATGTGGCACGCGGGATGAATTAGTCTGGGCCTCGGAGACTTTTTAATGGAGATGTTTCCACATGCTAGCGAATAGGACGATGATGTTTCGTTTCGGGGGGTCATGGTGATCACGACCGTTGAAACAGGAGGATGGATATAAGAGTGGCTTTTTCATCCCCGTTGGGGCTTTGATCTGTTATACTATGATCGTCGTATACTCCCGGTTTCGAGGTTGAAGACTGACTGACGTTGCGTGTATGTAATGTCTAGTCTACGCAGGGAGACGTAAGCAGCTTTTACTTTTTCCCGTAGTTCAGTTGAGGTCTGAGCGTACATGCAAACTGCCGGTCAGCGAGATGACAGTCAACTGAGACAAAATTTGACAAGAGGGTCCAAGAGCCGAGAAGCCACGGCACAACGGCAGCACAGCCAAGTGTATCATCCGATCTAGAACAGACTCGTCGCCCGCTGCGTAAACATGCCCATTCATCTCTATCCGTTCGTCAGGGCGCAAACTTCGGCTACGACTCTAGCCTCACAGGGGGTTTAGTTAGTGGATCATGGCACACTGTAGATCCTACGAGCCAAGAAGACAAGCTAGAATAACGGATTGGATGATCATGTCTTGGATTCGAATGCATTGCCACGAGGCGAGATTTAAGTGTATTGAGCATGTCGATCATGACTCTTGACTTGCGTTGTGAAGTGGCGCAGGGTTGGACCCTGAATGGTGCGAGTCGTGCAGGAAATGACAATTTCCTTACTAAACTCTGGGTAAGTTTTGCTTTTTGAAGGATTTTGAGAGGGAGTTGTTGACCAATTGTTTTATGTGGGATAGAGTTGGTTGTTACGTAGAAACTTTTGCGCTGCGCCTGATTGAACTGCCAGGGTTGTATTTACTGTGGTTGTGAAACTCTAGGAAATTGGATTATGGATTTTGTCAACTACCCTATATGGGGCGGTCAACTCCCGAAGGCGGAAAATAAATCAGCGGAATTTGTGCTGTTCATATTTATTCTAATTGAAAATTCTATCCTGAGGGGTATTTAAATCTGGAAGGATTATCTAGTGATTGTCTCTTCTCCCTCAATTTTGACTATCCAGTTACGTTAAATGCTCATGAGACAATTATGGCTAGACATGTGACACTAGGAGACATAAACTGATTTTGACTCATTATTCGACCGGCGATATTGGATTCTGCGGCACTGTAGTTTTGAATGGAGATTTAGATTATTTCATTGGGTAATTCTAGACTCGCCTACTCCGTGTGTGATTTAGATCGCGATGGTGTTGCCGAGACATAGACGCGCTGTTCACAAGTCCAGTATCCGTATATCCGAGAGGTTTGGTATCTTATTAATAATATCATCTAAAAATATCCTCCGTCTATTAGTCCGATCAGATTACAAGTCCTCGTTTCTCTCCTCCTCCTCTTTCTTCGACCCTCCATCAAGGCCCTCAAATAGGTCAACGCCCCAATCCTTCCCAGGATTCAAGAACCTATACTTCTTATCCTTCTTGGCCACTTCCTTCAACTCCCCCTCCGTAAATGTAACCTCCTGCGATCCAAAGTTCTCATCAATGTACTTCTCATGGGTACTCTTCGGAATCACAACAGTGCCCCTCTGCTGTCCCCACGCCAACACCGTCTGCGCCACCGTCGCGTTCTTGCTGTCCGCGAGTTTCGTCCAGAATTCGTCGTGAAGAATGCTCGGAATGTCGGGGTTGTAAGTTGGGTTCGTGTTGGCGAGCGGTGAGTATGCGATGACCTTGATGTTTTCGCTGGTGTGAAAGTCAACGAAGGATTGCTGTTGTAGGTAAGGATGCGTTTCGAATTCGTGCGCGTATGGACGGATGGTGGCGATTTTGAGGATGGTCTTGATATCATGTGGCGAAAAGTTGGAAATGCCAATGTTGCGCGTTAGTCCATCGCGGACGAGCTCTTCCATGGCCTTCCAAGTATCCACGATGGAGGTGTCATTGTCGAGGTCCTTGGTGTCGGGGACCCAAGCGACAGGCCAGTGAATGAGGTAGAGATCTAGGTACTCGACGCCCAGATTGGCGATGGACTTTTCAATGGCTTTGCGCACGAGACTAGGTCGATGATCCGTGTTCCAAAGCTTACTAGTCACCCAAATTTTGTCGCGCGACACGCCAGATGCCCTGATGCCCTGCCCAACCTCCTCCTCATTTCGGTAGATAGCAGCAGCGTCGACGTGGCGATAACCGGCCTTCAAAGCATATTCCACTGCGTGCGCAACCTAAGTTCCTGTCAGCACTGCACTCTTCTCGCGAACCTCGTATTCGAACTCACATCGCCCTTCTTAGCCAACCAAGTCCCCAGTCCAAAGGCCGGAATCGGGTGGGTTTCATTACCCGTCTGCACAGCGGGGGGTCCGCCACTCATTGACGTGGCCACTGAGAGAATGGTATAGGTAACGACGCTCACGACCGTGAGGAACGAAAACGCCCTTACGAAGCTCATCTTGTTTCTTGTGAGAATGAGCGATGAGGGTTGGTGAAAAGAGGCGATGACTCGTAATGAGGAGAATTATCAGTAACTTTTTTTTTTTTGCCGCAAGCCGGGCTTCCGGTTGGTTAGTGGAGTGAGCACGGAACTGCAGGGGTTCAATGATGTCATTACATAAGCTTAGATGACGATGATAACGGGGCTGGGGGACAAGGTTTGGTGATGGCATCATGTGACTCATCCAAGACGTTATCGTGATAAAACATGATGAGAAATATTTAATCCATTAATCAAGCTCAACTTGGTGGTCAGGTTGGTTGTTGCTATACTCCTACGTGTTCCTTATCTCGAACGCGTCACTGATAGCGATAGGTCATGAATATTCACCAGGGAAAGTAATTGAAGAAAAAGAAATGGGTATTCTATTGTTATGTGACATTTTATGTTTTACATTCTATCATGATCGTTCCAAATACATCTGATGCTTCGATAACTAATTCAGTAATGTGCCCGCACAGCAAATGACAACTCGTATATATCCTCTCGCTCAAAACAACACCTTCGCTTCAGAATTGAAGCCACCCAAGAGGCCAATCTCGAGTGCATCTCCGCCACCATCTTCGGCCCGAGATATAGATCACAAGACCCAAGCCATTTAGTGACCAGCCGAGCCAGAGTTGGAGTTATCGGCACAAGACCACGGGCTTGAACCCCCATTGGCCTTCATCGAGTTGTTGATACCAACAATTGAGCCGTAGGTACCAGCAACCATCATAAAGGTTCCAGCCACAATGACAAAGACACTCCAACCAACCATAAGACACCACTTGAGTGACTTTTCAGTCTTGCCCTTGTGCCAGTTGTCGTAAAGCCAGAAGCAACCATAGGGTTGGAAGCACATCAACGTGCCGAGAAGAGCTCCGATGAGAGACACCAAGCCGCCGAAAACAGGGATGGCGCTGGCGATGATATACGCGATGATGGTCACGCTTCCTGTACAGGCTAGCCACGTACCCCAATGCACGATGCTGTTGGAGTTGAGATGCTTAGTACCGCGCAATAACCGGATGAACATGTACTTGGCGGGAATCTTGGCAGGTTAGCGTAGATCACTGAGAAGACATGGAGACACTCACGTGAGTCATAAGCATAGCAGTCACGATAAGACCAGGCAGGGCAAAGCCATAGCAGACTTTCTTCATGAGAATGCCAGCTGAACCGAGGGCAGGGGACGTAACATATGAACCGCAGTAGTAGTATACCACGATTCCGATGGTGATATACGTGATTGTCACGATCGATTGGCAGGTCAACAGCGAGCGGGTGTAGTGCTTCGGTTCGCGCATCTCAGCAGCGATCTGGAAGAACGCGGGTGTGCCTGAGAACGCAAAGATATGCGACGACACAGCCGTGATACCGTCAACGAAGCTAGGATGGTTAAAGAGCTTCCAGTCAGATTCCCAGTGTCCTTCCTGCGGAGCAGCTGCAGGTCTGTCCTGCACGCCAACAGCGACAGTGACACAAAAGACTAATTTCTCGTGTTAGTCAACTTGATCTCGTGAGATGAAGGGGCTTGAACTTACTGGCAGTCATGATGCAGACCAGTCCGATCCACGCTAGCCAGCCAATCTTGCCGAGCGTGCGGATACTAGCAAAGAAGAAGCCCAGAATAGCTGCCACGGCAACGAACACGGCTGTGCAGGCTGCGTGTGTAGAGACCGAGTTAAGACCGATTGAGATACCAAGCATCGCTGAGCCACCAACGAAGATCCAATCTGTAAGTCATCAGCACCCCCAGCCTTCCCGCAATAGGACATGAATGATGCTTACATAGCATGAAAACAGCCGCGAGGACTTCACGACCAATCCGCCCAAACATCAACTGTCCTGCATCGTCGATACCGTAAACCTGCGGATGTCGTCGCTTGAACACGCCGATCATGTAGTCTGACCATGTCGTGATGGCTGACACGGCGATGAGACATATGATTCCGGGTATGAGACCTAGAGCATCGAAGGTCTGGGGGATTGATAAGACTCCAAGGCCGATTTGCGTTTTTGTCATGAGCGCGACGGTGGCGATCCATCCGACCTGGACACTCATTAGTAATTGTGAAGTGAAGGGACCGGGGTTCGTACATTGCGGTAGTTAGGTCCATCTTCCGAGACTTCGCCAAAGACGGCGTCGATTGTCGTTCCCTCCTGGGTACATCTCGAGGGAGAGCGCTGAAGATCATCGACGCCCTCGATATCACGAGGGAGTTCTTCCTTCTTCGCCATGATGAGTATCTTGAACAAAAAGTTTCTTCAGATAAAACGGTAAGTGAATGTATGGAGAAGGGACAAGAGTCTGGAACGGGATGCAGAATCTGGGGAAGATGGAGCCGGGAGCGTCATGTCCTTATAAATCTGGCCCTTTCTATGACTACAAGAAACTGAATTACCCCGGATTATAACTTGATCGTGTATCGCGCCCTGCTCCACTATGACTCCATGTCACTATCATCCGGCGTTTCCTTGTCTAGGGGGGGTCGTGGTGGGTTCAACGGGGCCTGGGGTTGAGATAGGTCGTCTTCGGTGAGACTTTTTGACCAATTGAGTTTTGCGTGATATAATCTCTCTGTTTAGAATAGATTACTGTATCTCAAGTCTCATTTCAAAGATAATAATTCGCGATAATACTGGAGATCTGGTATCAATACTCTCAATATTCCTTGGAGGATCTTCTATCAACGCCATGTAAACAGATAAAATAACGCCGACAACGATAAAGCCTAAACTCTATTCCCAAACTCTCTGAAAAGATGACTTATCCACTCTTAGATATGTGCAACTCTAGCCGAAGTCCTCTGACCAGAGTGTCATTAATGCATAATCATCCCTCCGTTCATTACTCGCGAACCGTCTAATACGCAAAGATCACCACGGTGTCTCGGAGAAAATAAAAAACGCTCAAAAAAAGTTCATATCCACTTTATACCCCTTGGTTCATGTCGATCAGCCTGGGTTCGGTATCACGGCGTTGAGAGCCGATCACGCTAGCGCCGAGGTCCAACGCCGTGGCGGTCATCTGATAAAACTGATATCGCTGCCACCGAAGAAGAAAATGAGGCATATTTTCCATGTTTTCTTGTGAGGCATTTGCCATTTTTGTGCCTGACAATCCCGAGTTTATTCCTCTGATGTTTGACTCTAAGGAGGCTTCTGGAAGCCTCGGCTGCATGAGAATTTCTGTGGATCTTGGCGGGGAATTTGGGGGTTGGATATGTCGAGTTTGTAAATTCGTAACTCTATTTGGAAGGGTTCTCGGGGACTGATGCCGGGGCCCATAACGGACTTTAGTTATGAGAACCGAGCTATAAATTACATAAGGATATCAGGCAGTCAACAGTCTGAACAAGGTCTGGGGATGTTGTACTGCTAGGTTCTCCTTGCCTTCAACATGCTCTATGCTTTCAGAACCTATGTGTTGGCGAAATCATACGTTGGATGCTTATTATTGCTTCCATAAAGAGAATCATGCAAGTAATGTTATGACGGACATCGTTCAACAATGTGACGCTGCGCGGAATCATCCCGACGTGAAACATCGCTAGCCCCCTTGATCGTAACACGAGACATTTCAGCTGCCATGGTAGCCATGGCTTTGCTCTGGAGTAACAGGCTTATCTCTAAATACCCGATGATCATGCCGTCATCAGCCGCATAAGCTTTCGGCATTCCCGACACCCGCTGATCGACTATCTTATTCCCGTTCATGGGGGGTAGCCCTTCTCGCATAAACATAGTCCGTGGCCAGAAAAATAACAGTAAGATTACCCTCAGTGGGTATGAATGTCTGACGGCGAACAGGGAAGTATATCATGAACCCCGGGCCCGCCGACTCATGATAAGAGCACGTTCCTCAGAGTTGCCCAAGTTCCTTCGGCTGGAGACGCCCTGTGAAAGTGAGGCGAGCATCGAAATGGGTAAGACTTCTGCCGTCCAGAACGTAACGGTAACGGACGAATACTTCAAGATATGGTTATATGGAGATCCCAGGGGTTCCGCGGTTGCCAATCGGGTAAGTATCCGCACGTTCCTCCACTCAACGTTCGGAAAGTCGGTACCCTGGATGACGTTCCGAGAAGTGACTATCTCACTCAGATTCGAGCTGGCATGGTCATAGCAATGTTGGTACCAGAAAACGTGTCGACTCCGATGAAGCTCGGGTTCACTTCCCGAATAATAGCAATGGAGCCTCGCGGTACAAAGACCCGAAGTCAAGGAACAGTATGCAAAGCGCTGTCTTTATTATTTCTGCAGGCTGATTAAATACCGAAGTATGTCCGATTATGATTAAAGTCCGTCCCAGGTTGCAGTTGCCAGATCGTCTATTAAGATCACAGGTGTATGGATCCATACCTTTTGACTTCTCTGCTTCTCCTTCACCGTGATGTTAGATCGCTCCGAGTAAAGAGAGCCTACTAAACCTGAGCAGCAGAAATGGAAATAGGGCTGAGGCCACTCGGAATTCCGGTGCTGATATACCAGAAATCTGTCGTTCCCATACCAGTGACACGCCGCTCAGTAAAAAACTGATCATACACATCATCCTGCGGAGTAAGACAGGACAGCCCAATATCCTCATCCTCCTGACATATAGTCTGAGGCGCGGTGCACGAAAGCGTCCCACTAACAACCTCACAGGTCAAGTAATCGTACGCTTTGTTAGTACCCGTGTTGGTGGGATTACAATATGCGATTGTAGGTGGAGTCGACGTATTAGGCGAAGATCCGAAGTAGGCGCACACGTAAGTTCCTCCGTTGGCATCTTGGAGACGACCGGTAGAGGGCTCGATGTTAAAGGTTCGGATCCCCCCAGTTTGGGGGAGAGCGGGGTTGAAGACGAGGACAGATGTCATTTCGATGTTTCCCTGGGGCTGAGCATTGTTGAGGTTTCCGCCGGTGGCGAGGAGGGAGTATGTTGGGTTGGCTGCTGGTGCGGTGCTAGTGCTGGCGGCGGTAGTGGTTGTCTCAGCCTCGGATGTCACTGTTGTCACGTCTGAAGAGGTAGCGGCGGCAGTTGAAGACTCTAGGGTCGTTGTAACAGATATTTCCGTAGTGCTAGAAGCTTCTGTTGTCTCGGAAGTTGCGGCAGTGGTTGTGTCCTCTGCGATTGTGGCGATAGATGATTCAACAGTGCTAGTCACGTCTGATGTTGACGCCACGGAAGCTAGGCCTCACAGGTCAGCAGTCACCATCTGGCTAGGTGGTTTAAACTCACTTGTGCCCTGCGGCTTGCATGGACTAGCAAAAGCGGCGTCAGCGATAAGGCTGACAGCCAAAAGAAAGATATTGCAATGCATCGTGGCGCACAAACGAGTGACGAAGGTGGGATATGAAGCGCGCAACGAGAAGCAAAAACAAAATACCAAAGAGAATGGGAGAACTCAGCCACTGAGGGCATTTATGAACGATCAATTTTGCTCAGCTCATCTCCCATAATCGATAGTCTTGCTCTAACTCGTGAGCTAGACCCTAACAAAGAGTATCTTGGCAAATCAGATGTTGGAGTAATTGTTAAAGACCAGGCGCTACTGCAGGGGTGACAGCATGTCTAAGCCAGATCTGGTCTGGCTAAAATTAGTTAGTCATGTGCAGTAGGTGCAGTAGGTGCAGGGTATCTATTTGCGGTCGCAGGCTCGAACATTAAAGGCGACTGGACCTCGGGAATACTCTTGTTTCCATAAGAGACTGATGTACATAAAAGCTATATAACGTGACTATAGCCGCTGATAGATACCGCATCTGTCACTGGCACGATTACCTCTGGGACCATCGCCACCATCACCGAGACGACCCTTACTCCCATTTCAACTGGCTACACTTTCACTAACAATGAAATTACCCTGTTCCCAGCTAGTGTCCTCTGCGATGCCAAGGGTGATGTTAAAAACCCGGACAGCACCCATCTCATTACTGCACCTGCGACCTTTGCTCGATGCCGTGATGCCTGTAAGGGGAGGGATGACTGTGTTGCGTTTGTTGTGAAGGAAAATGTCTTTTGTGATCTTCGGGTGAGAAAAATGCAAGAGACTGATGGCTCCAACACCAATTGGACTTGGTACTCCTTAGACTGTCTCTGCGATCTACCTGAGATGCCTACGAGTTCGGCAGTGGCCACTACTAACGCGGAAACTACATCAATGATATAAGTGGAACATATTCGGTGCAAGGGTGTCTGCGGTTCTGCATAAATGATGACACCTGCACTCGATTCTCCCATGGCTGTGACTTTTGCGGGCTGTGGAATGGAGACTTCTCTACCAATGGAGTTTCTGCGGATTGGAGCTGGTATGAATTGCGTTGTTTCTGTGCGGCAAGGGCACCTGTGGATTAAGAAAAGCAAGGAGAGTTGGCGGGCGGAGTTACCTGAGTTGACTCACTGGGGAAGAAGCATCATATTTCCTTACTAACTGTCTGCTGTATATTGTATCAAACTTCGTCCTTTACAGTTTCGAGTATGACTCACTCGTGGTTTGTGCGAGTAAGAGGCTGAGTTGCCTAAAGTTTAACCAGAACAGGGCTTTATGCCCGCTCCATTATTAGTCACTTAAAAGCTCCGTAAAAAGACAAAAGGGTGGTCGATGCATTATAAGAACCACCAGCCGTCGCAAACTTTTCCTATCCTCAAAGGACAACAAAACACAAACCTTTCAGCATGACTTTGACATCCAGCAGCCCGGGGATACCCATCACCTACAAGTGGTCATCGCTCCCTCAAGAGCTTCGACTGCAAATCTTCGGATACGTGGCCGGACAGCGAAATTGTCGAGCTAGGGGCCTTAGTCGCTTTGCCTGCGTCTCTTCCGAATGGCAAGATCACTTTGAAAGGATCATATTCCGACGCCTTATGATCGACAACTCCCAGCTGTTAACGTTCTCCGACATGACCGAGCGCCAAAAGGTTGTGAGATTGTCATATATACGTTACCTATGCTTGAGGATCAAGCTCAAGGACTACGATTATCCGGAATGCCATAAAGAAGAGTCCATTGCGACGATAAAATGGTGGGATTGGTGATCTTCTTGTCGTGCTTATTTCTAACAATATATCGTAGTAATAACAGGAGATTTTCTGATTCGCTGATTGGATTGTTTAATGTGCTCTGCCGTTGGGAGCCTTCCAACGATCGGGACACCGGATTAATACTCGAGATCACTGCTTACTCACCTGGTGACAACAACTTTTCCCAAGAAGCATCGTTAGAATACGCTATACATAACAGCCTCCAGCTGGAAGAAGACCTCGAAAGCTCACTTAGCATTCGAGACCTCATCCGTATAAATACTCTTAGACGTCTGTGCGACCCTGGGAAGAATTGGCATAGGCCAAAGACCGAGAAAGGCTTGTCGCGACTACAAGGCACACCACTTGAGTTGAGTACAACGAAGAAACTCAAGCAAGTCCCGATCGTTCATACTCTCTGGATACGCCATCAGTTCTACAGGGGGATAGATGAAAAGAGCTTGGTACGGATCTTGCGCATGGCTCTGACGAGCGTCGTTTCTTTCCGGCTCGAAACTTTCGGTAACTGGATCAGCCTAATTCTTCAACTTCCCCATCACATTCGTCAATTTTCCTTGAACCTCGTCTCAAGATCACTCGGTCAGTCGAACAATAAACATATAGACGGAGGGCCTGAACAACCAAAGTTTTTAGCAGAGAAAGCTCACCATTTGGTCGCACTTTGTCCACCTGGTGGCATGAATCCACTGCATTTTATTCGGCATCTTCGAAAGTCACAGCAGTATCAAGAACTCGAACATGGTTCAAAACTGGAGCAGTTATGTCTTGAGATTCCAAACACAGCTCGCGGAGACGCTGTATCGTTCCAGAGTCAGTTAAATGCTCTCTTGGAAGAATCTGCTGTCACCGCCCGAGAGTTGCCAAATCTCCAGATTATGGAAATTTGGTGGGACAATGGGATAAATGCCTGTTTGTTCCGATATGAGCTTGAGAAAGACCAAGTTACCATCACATGGAGAGTAACTGAAAACTGGATAAACCTGACAGAAGGAAGTAAACAACAGTGGGCGAGAGTAGCTAAGAAGTATAATGTGGGCTTTTCAGTTAAGAGAGAGCCGTTTTGTGAAGTCAGGCGAAACGGCATGCGTATTGATGGGAAGAGCATCTACCGGGACTTGAAGTTGTGCGATTTGGCTGTCGATCCAGTTACTCTGGCCTATGCTGAGATGAGGCTAGGCTGGTAGAGCAAATGGAAGGACAAAGACTCAGATTGAATATCACTTAACATTTGTTCCAGGCAGACACGACAAAGTTGTGAGGACCAAATGAAAGCCATCCTGTACTGCAGTTTGTACATGCAGCCATTTATGAGACACCAGGCGTGGTGCATAAGACCGCAAAAACTAATTATCCCGAGCATGCATTTCCATTATTGGCATCGATATCTTACTGGGCATCCTCGTTAGTCAGCGTGATTCAGCCCAACACAGCAGACCTGCACAGCCTGATCAGGCTGCGTAATTTTCATCTTCTTTACCCCGCCCTTCAGAGCGTCAGATCATTACTCTAGAGAGAAAATCATCATGCTTACGGGCTTTGAAGCACTCGGCGCGGCGAGCGCAGTCTTGCAAGTCATTTCGTTCGCAACTGATGTCGTTGTAGCTTGCAAAAACGCATATGATGGAGCAACAACTTCTCACGATGATCTTCAGCGCTATGCGGGGCAGATGTCCGAAGCCGTTGGTCGAGTACACACTCGCTGCGAGCAGATGAGCAATGCGAACTCCAGGTTTGCTAGCCCAAAGCTGCAAAATATTGCTAAGGAATGCAAAAATGCTGCCGATAGGCTGGAGGCGGAACTTCAGTGCGTGACGAGCATGCAGGCCCAGGGCGACATTTTACAATCGCTTCGCAAGACTTTTAGAGCGTCGAGGCATCGTAAAAAGCTCCAAGCTCTTCAGGAGTCGCTTTCAAAGTATCAGCAAGTCATGGAAATCGAGCTAACGTCTCATTTATGGTAAGCTCACCATTCGGATTGCCATGGGCATGTACTAAAATAAGCCGTACTCCAGTTCACAGAGCAATGCGATAAACTACCGGCAAGACGAATGTTTCGGTAAATTGGATACTGATATACAGTTTCTCATCAACCAGCTCGCTCAAGGCATGACTGATGCAAAGTCTCTCGTGAAGCGAGAACATGCTACAACACGCAACGCAATTACCCAAGAAGGAGCCAGGGCCGAGGCAGCCATCAATTTGCACACCGACAGCCAAGTTCTGGAGCTCAGGACTACCGCTGAAACAAAGAGAAAATGTGAAACCTTTCTTCAAAGTCTCAAAGCTCCACGGATGAATCAACGGTACAACGATGTCATGGACTCGAGAGATGCAAGCTTTAACCAAGTGTTTGCTACTTATGAAGACATGAAGGCTATGTATCACCAAAGTTTAAACACTAGTGAGGTTTCCGAGGAACCCGATGAGTCAGATGATGGTGGCGATCCAAAGGACGACGACTTATCCGAAACGACCAGCAACCTTAGTTACATGGGTTATATGGAAGATATTCATCGCTCATGGCAATCACTCAATTTATGGCTGCAATCAAAAGAAAAGCTCTTCTACATCCAAGGAAAACCAGGTTCTGGTAAAAGCACGCTCGTCAAATTCATCCTTAGCCAGGACCAAACTCAGGAATTAGTGCACCGATGGAGTCCTGATGCGATTATTATTTCTTACTTCTTCTGTAAAATCGGCTCAGAAGAGCAGAACAGCATTAAAGGGCTCTGGTGCTCACTCCTCTACCAAAGACTGCAAGATCAGCAACAATTGGTTTTGAATGCATTGAAGCGGTTCAGTAACTTGTCCCTTCACTCCGAATATTATGATTGGTCTATCAAAGACTTGGAAGCCGTCTAGGGTTACCTCACAGACACGGATGCCCGAAGCATATGCATTTTCATCGACGGCCTGGATGAGATTCGCAATGAAGATGGCTTTTCTAAGCTTTCCAAATTGATCCAGTCTTTGTCAGGGCTTCCAAAGGTCAAGCTGTGCATGTCGACTCGGCCTGAGGCACAAATCATGCGGTGGCTCCAGACGACAAATACAGTCGGAATCTTACTGGAAGACTTGACGAGATTTGATATGCATACCTTCTTACGAAAGAGATTCCGCGAACTGTTGTTTAATGGCCAAGTTTCTTTGGAGTTCTATGATCGTTTGCGTCAACAGCTTGTCGATAAAGCGCAAGGTGTTTTTCTATGGCTTCATCTCGCCACACGAAGCATCATAGAGGGGATCCAGAATAATGATTCGGAGAATATGCTTTCTATACGACTCCATGAGCTTCCTAGAGACCTTGAGAAGCTCTACATAGATATGTGGCAAAGATCTAACGCAGAAAGCAATGTCTATCAAGAGACAGCACGCAAATTCTTTCATTACGCTATGGGGTACTCAGAAGGCTACGTCCTGACTGATCCCAGTTGGGATATAGCTTCATTTCTACCTCTGACGCTTCAGATTGCCTGCGCCGATGATCCTGCAATACAAAAGACCCTTTTTACCGGCACGGGTACCATCGGAATGACGGAGATGATGCGAATGTGCGATGACTTAAAAGCTTCGATACACACTCGGTGTGCAGGAATGCTTGAAGTACAGACGCAGGAGCTTGACAAAAACACTTCTGAAATGTTGGGATGTAAGAAAACTGCTGTAACCAAGGCACTTGGCAGGGTATCATTCATTCATCGAACAGCGCATGACTTTCTGACGGACACAGAAGCTGGCCACAGTATTCTAGGACGCGAACCGTTGTCCGCCTTTTCCTATCAAACACAGCTTCTAAAAGGTCTTATCTGCGTATTGATAGGTCTGACATCTGAATGGGACCTGCCGTGGGATAGCTATACTATTATCGAGTGTATCGCTAATTTTGCAACACGCTGGGGAATCGAAGGTTTTCAAGTGGCTACCCAGATGCTCGACGTCATTCAGCCATTGTTTGACAAGCATTTCGCAAGAAACAGCTCACATTCGTGGAGAAATCCACCCCTTTTCTTGACTGCTTTGATTACTCATCATGAAATATTTGATGATTATGTTATCTCATGTCTTGCAAATGATACCTCTCCTGATCTTGCCACCAATATCATGCGAGAGGGATGGTGTTCGGAACCTCGTCCGAAACTCTGCAAGAGAATCTTTGCAAAATTGATGGATCTTGGAGCAGATCCACACAGATATGGTATACTTCTGAGTTGTTTCGTTCCAGAGCCATTTGTTAGGAAGAAAACAGCATTTACAAACCTTCTGACGTATCACTTCTCTTTATTGCAACATAATAGTATTTATGAAGAGGTGGCGGTAGCTCGGCCGAGGTTGGAAGAGTTCCATCTGGAGCTTCCATATGAAACTTTAGAAATGGCTATCCAAATGGCGAAGACTTGCCAGGACCCAAATGCAGCTGTCGCATTCTTCGCCTCCTTTGCTGACAATGGGACTATGCGGTTATTGGCAACTGAAGTGGTAACCTGGGAACTCAGCCAACTCAATCACAAGTCCTTATTTGTGGTTTATGAGATCAACATACAGTTCTTGCTACTGTATCTGCTCTCTAAGATTGGGGATAATGTACCCGAGAGTGTGTCGAAACATCCTGAAGCTCAGGATGTGGTGTCAAAATTTGACAGTCCTTCAATCAAAGTAAGATACTTCATGAGACCAAGACTAACAGAAGATGGTCCGAAGAAAGACATTGCACCTCGACGGAAGTTCGAGCGCGTCATATCAAGGGCAGCGTCTCTTTCGAGCATCGAGATCAAGCGTCTTTTTGACATGAAATATAGTGACCAATGTCGAGAGTCTTGCAAAACAAATGAAGCTCAAAGACATTCCGATGTTATAACCCAATTCATCAATGATTTGGAGACCGAAGAGGTCGATGTCGAAGACATGATGGTAACTTTAGCTAGTGAGAACCTGGGCTTGGGTACATATGAGGAAGCGGGCATGATCCCTAGTTTGAAGTTTTTGAGAGGTTCAGAAGAAATGACTAGACTGGCATGGACATTATTTCCTTTGTCAATGCGACGGCTTGAAGTCGCAGCAGCTGCCAAGGAAGCAATGAAAGGGCAAGTGTGATTCTCACGTGATGGTTACTTTTCACCTTTACTTTTGTTTAGGAAATTAAGACTGACAATGGTTGAGAGGAATCGATTTACAGACCCTCCTTTGCCTTGAAACCTCCGTCATCCTGTGCCTCATTATTCTTGTAGCCAAAAATGCCCTTGGTTGGTTGATCTCTTTCCTTGTGAAGGATACTCACAGCTTCTGGAGGCACCAACTCTTTCTCTGTTAGAAGGTTGAGCACCTCCAAGGTCCACTCCTGACATCTTCTTGTATTCACCTGGATATAAAATAGTTAATCGCCGTTCTGCCTCTTGCAACTGGTTTCTTACCCCATCGATTGGTGCACGTATGTTTTGTCCTTTGGGAGGCGGAGGTACGGACTCTGCAAGTCGTTCAATAAGACTTCTCGGCGTATTCTCTCTTATCTCTGGTTCAGTTTCTGCATAGCTGTGGAGGATTGAAACGTCGATCTTCCCAAGAAAGACTAATCGCTTCAGGTCCGGATAGGCTTGAGTGTTGTAATTCCTATGAACCTCGAATGCAAAACCAGACATGAGAGGTTCTCCCACAACATGTATCTTTGTTCCAATAGCCTTAAGAGACCAGAAGTCTTCACTGATAATGTCTCGATCATATTCTGCGTTCGGGATGAAGAGGGCGAAATGAGAGCGTTGGTTCACGCCTCCGCCGGACTTGGCAAGATATAGTGAGCGGGCTGGCATAATGGACTATAAGAATAGCTTTACAATAGTATATGACCCGTGTTGATGGAAAAGCTAACTTCTGGAGGTATTATTATTTTGTTGTCGACATTTCAGGAAGCGGGGTTTGTCGGCTTTCTTGGCAGTAATTGGCTAACAGAGATTGTGTGCAAGGTTCGACCAACAGATCCCATAAATGAGGCATAAACGGGCCATTGATGAATTCAGGCCACAGGACGACCAATCAATATCTATGGTTGTCTATCTGCGTGATACATGAACAAATAATTGTTCGAAATCTGATAGTATCATCTCCGGGCCCAAGTCCACTTCCAAGTCTCAATACACTTCTCATAACGCGCCTCCGCCCACTTCCTCTGCTCATCACCTGGCCCCAAACTCTTCTGACGCACAGAAACCATATGCTCATACAACTTCAAAGCCGTATACACGTTTCTATTCTGAAGATATGACTCTGCAAGGCTATTCTCAGAAGACATAGTCCTCTTATGTACCAGCCCAAGAGTCTTCCTCTGAATAGGTACCAGGTCCTCCAAAAGTGAAATGGCCTTTGTAAGCTCTTTGATCTTCAAGTACTGCTCGATGAGGGATACTTGAATCTTGAGGGTGTCGAAATGTGCTTTGCCTAGGATCTGCTGCTGGATTGGGAGAGTCTCCTCTAGCAGAGAGATGCATTTCTTTCGTTCGCCTTTGTGCTCGTATGAATAGGCGAGGTGGTTCTTGACGGCAATAAGAATCGGGTCGTCTTTTGCGATTTTGCTTTCCGCTGCGTCGATCCCCATCTCTAGACTCTCAGCTGCCTTTTCATACTCTCCAGCATAGTTGTAGCATTTTCCCAGCTCACCCAGGAGTATCAACTTGTCCATGGCGCTTCTTTTACTGCCAGCTTTCCTGAGCTTCTCCAGGCGATCAATTTCATGCTTTGGCACACCATTGAAACGATAAGACTTTGCGAGAACACATGACACCGCCAACAAGCTGCTCTCATCTTTTGGAAGACGCTTCCCTTGGAGCGCCAATGCCTTTTCCGAAAGTTGAATCGCCTTTGCTGACTGCCCTGTTTCTGCATAGGCTTCTGCAAGGTCGAGTTCAATGCGAAGACGCCGCTTGGTGTGCTTGAATGAGGATTTCTTTACCCATTCCACAGCTTGCTGAAGCCATGGGATTGCTAGGGTGCTGTTTCTTTGCCTTAAGAGCCAAGATCCGACTTTACACATAAGCTGAAAGCGATCGTCGAATCTCAAATCAAGATCTTGACAGTTTTTAAGGACACGGATAGCATGAGCCTGGTACGTCTTCCAGGTTAATCTCTTCGACCAATCCACCGGTGGGACAAGCTCGTTCATGCGCTTTGTAACTATTTCCGCCAGGCTCTTGAAAGCTTTCTTCTGCTTAGCCCATGCTCGGATGCATAAATGAATGACAGTGGGCATGTCGAACATACTGCCCCCTTGCCTTGGAGCCAAGAGAAAGAAGCTACACAATATACCGATAGACTCTTCGAGTTCGGCCTTTCCACCCTTGATTCCAGTGCCAGCAAGGATTGTTCTTGGGATGGAGGATGGTCCAGTTTGCGAAATGAACTCAAGTAGTCTCGCGGCGCGTGGATTGACCTTCTGGACTGCCTCGAAGCATTTCATAGCGTTCTTGAGTATAGAGTCCTCGGAATCTGTCCCTTCGCTTGTCCCGTCTGTACGTTGTGAGACGAACGGAAAGGCATCTTGACCTGGGCTGCGCAATAACTCCAGAAATTTGGCTATTGTCAGATGGGCATGGTTGTTAAGATACCTTACTGCCAGTTGAATACTGAAAGGGAGGCCATTTAGTTCGGATATTAGTTCCTTCACTATATCCTCATCTGAAAGCAGCCCCTTGTTGAACAGGGAATTTCTTAGAATGGAGATTGCGTCTGGGGTTTCTAGGCCGCTGACTTTAATGACCTTGTTCACTTGATTTCCAACGGCGGCGGTCGCAGCTTTCATCGAATGTGTGATGAATAAGATGTTACCCTCTTCGCTATGAGGTAGATCGCTGAAAACACTCTTGGGCTGAGAACTAGTACTTGGTGGATCATTGTCGGTATCCGCGTCATCAATAATGAGGAACCATCTTCCAAGACGTTCTGACGATAAATAACGATGAAAAAGGACTCTTGCATCAGTAGACTTCGACTCGTGTTCATAGAGGCGAAACAGATCCAACTTTTGTGCAATCCGCGAGTAGGACTCCTCGAAGTTGCCTGTTGACAGCCAAAAGATAGAGTATTTCGGGTATGAGGAATGAACCCATTCTGCAAATTGAATTGCGATTTGGGTTTTTCCGGATCCAGGAAGCCCCGTGAGTGCCGCTCTCTGATGTCCATCTTGGGGGAAGGCGGCCTGTAATTTTTGGAGGTAGTTGGGTCGGTCTATAGAGGAAGGGGATCGCTTTGTTGGTACGTAGAAGCAAGGCTGTGGTGGTGACTTCGTCTTCCAAGATGCGGGTTGCGGAGACTGACTCTCTTCAGGGCATTCTGGACCCTGTGGCCTCGGGCTTGAAAAGACGAAATCTTGTTGTGGCTAAGACACATGAGTACCCTATGGAAGTATGGGAGATAGCAGAAGGCACCTACCGCGATCAAGAGTTCAAAATCTGGCCTAGTACTTCCTGTAAAATAAATCATTAGCTCGCGTACGTCTACTAGTCCTCCATTACGCACTCTTCTTCAGTATCAGGTTCTCAACACATTTCTGTACCCAGAAGTTTTGGACTTGGCTGTCCAGATACCTATCGGTGGCAGTCTGAATCTCCCTCTTCTTCCGGTACTCCTTCATCCCTACTGTCTGTAATCCATGATCGACGTTGAACCGAAAGTACCGTCCTTGTTCAAGGTGCTGCCTCCACCTCTTAATCGATGCCTCTGCTATCTTCTCAGCATCTGTTGCCATTTTAGCCAGGGCCCCTATGAACTTATCGACTCGATCGTCGATGTTGTATGTTGGAAGTCTGCCTGTTCCTATTGATATAAAGCACTTGGCCAGTGGCTGCAGGTTGCCTGTGCTCGGACACCAGATCTCCATAGCCTCTTCTTCAACTTGGTCGACTGGGTTATTGGCTCCGAGAGCCCCGTCCACGAATTTCATACCCTCGATGGAAACCGGATTGAAGAAAGTGGTTGCAGCGGATGTTGCCCGAGCTGCTTGGCAGATAGTCGCATTAACAGAGCTTTTATGGCTGCTGTAACTCCTGAATCGACATACAGCCGCGTCAAGCTTTGAAGTTGCGCATACAAAGCTAGCAGGTTTCGGAAGTTAACAAATTGATCTATGGGGAAAGCTAAATTGATTGGCAGCATTTGATATACTTACACCTTGCAGTCGGGTTGGCGACTATCAACCATGCTGTCTGTCGGCGATAGCCCCCTGTCCTTCAAAGTCTTCTCAATCGCCGCCTTGAGTCCTCCAGAATCGAATCGAGCCTGCGTCTGCCCTAGCAGGCTAAACTTTGACTGGTGAACCCTTGCCTTCTCGTTGAAGACCACCTTGATAAGGTCATTATAGGCTGAAATACATTCGTCGACATCCATTTGCAGCCTTCCGAGCATAATAGCGATCAGTCTGGTAATGTTGGTGAGAAATAGAGCATCATCAGGACTTTCTGGCAAACCTTACCCGCCCGTGCTCGTGCCTCCAATTAGATCAAAGATATCCGCTGGCTTCTGTGGACTTTGTCCCAATTTCTTCCTCTCGGCATTATATCCATCCATGATGCGTTTGAGCACATATAGTGAAGATAAGCCGCGTACCCCGCCTCCATCGAGGGACAGCATGCAAATGCCCTCCTCATCCAGCAAACCCACGCCCGGCGACTTTGGATTCTGTTCGTTCATTTTTTTATCGTTCGGGTATGCCATGAAAAGAAGAAAAGAAGACGATTAGAATTCCATGCTCAGCCTCGTCTTCGTGCCAGTCAGACTGGCTGTATGCAAGTTGTAGTCAGCTGCTTATCTATTCCACCGCTTATTGGCCTGACTCCCCCCGCAGTTGGTGCAACTTGGCAAGGTGAGCGGCTGGATGCCTCTGAGAAATCGACATTATATTCTACGTCGTGGAGTTTAATATCCTGATTGAAAGTCTCGAAGTGTTCAGATTCGCTTCCCCAGGGTTGCGATTGGGTAGATGTTGCGAGCCCATTGGAACCGACCCAGTGAAGCCCCTCCGTGGCGAGCCTAAGTATTTTGTTGTCAACACCAAGATAATTAAGTTTTTATGCAACTTTAAGGAATCTTATTAATCTTTCGTCATTTCATACCCGATTTAGAAGAACTCTAGACAGTCTAAGCAGGATGTCCTCCATAACTTTGACATAGAAGATACCATACTAATGCAGATTTAATTCATGTTGCCTCCGCTGCAAATGTTACATGACAAAGGCTAGAGTCCCACCAATAGGCAAACAATCTTCTAAGCTGTCAGCAAGCTCAAAAGAGCAGGTGGTAAGATCACAGCCTCTCCAAGTGGTCTTATTGCTACGCCGCGTGGTGAGGCGCAGTAGCCAGACACTTAATAAAGACTTCTCACTACGCTATTTCCCACTGTTCCAAGGCCTTTAAAACTAACTCTAAGATAGGCTATCAGAAATTTCTATACAAGTATTCACGATGCCGACCATCACGGAATATTTTGGCATTGGACTCACCAACAACGGTCCACTAACAACAACCTACACGCCTCCCGCAAGCTGCACAACCGTAACGACAGACCAAATCCTTTTTGCGCATCCCGACTTTATAACAGTCAGTTACGGAGCCCCGACATGCGAGACTACTTCAATGGGAAACTGTCTCCCATCTGGCTCCGATTATGACAAGGTGGTCTCCTACTACAATAATTACGGAGGCCAGGGCACTCTTGACTATTATTCACCTGGCATAGCTTGTCCCAAGGGTTGGACTACAGCTGGTACGTTAGCACATGGCAACAAGACAGGTTCTGTCAAGAGGAGTGGTGTCTTCACGGAGA